CTGGATTTTCATGAGAAGCTCGAATTTGGCAGAGTTATTATACTAAAATACAATGTATAATAGAACTGAAATTGTCAATGAAACTAGACCTATACAAAATTTATCTATACTGCAAAATTCTGATCGCTATCTTCTCTACCAATTACAAGAATTGAAGCCTAGAACTTGTCCAAATCACCGAATTTTGATCAGGTAAGTGAAATTCATAGAATTCTAGGGACTCAACAGTGTGAACTGAAAGTTTTACCGTGGATAGAAATTACTGATACATTACTCTACAGAAAGTTTCAACTCGATCACATTAGCCGTTCTTGAGATATCAAGGTTACAATGTCCTCTATTTTGGAAGATCCGGATTTTCAGGCTTTCCAAAAAAAAATCATAAAAAAATCGAAGGCTCAGTTTTTTGAAAGTGGTTTGCGTGAAAAGTCATAAAGCTGTTGTCCTTATTATATGACTTAAATTGAGCAAGATCTCAGAACATCGCTTGAACAAATATATCCGATTGTTGGTTACGTAGGCTGGTTCATAAGTAAAATTTAGTTCATGACTTTACTTGAGCTTTTAATTAATATTCGATTAGTACTCTACAAAAAGAAACAGAAATAGAAACTTTTATCAAATGTTCCTTTTTACGATTGATAGTTTCTTTTTATAAGCAAGTCTATGTCATTCATCGGAAACGTAGTAAATTAGCAATCAGTGCTTATTTTTCTGTACAGGATATCTCGAACGCCTACTATGAAAATAAAGACGTGAATATTTTATAATTAATGCAACTGATGTAAATAATATTTTTAAATGAAATGATAAAGTGTTAGAAATTCACAATCATAGTAAGATTTTTTTGTACATGGTTTCATAGAGGGTAAGTCAAATATTCTAAAAAAATGTCTTGATGAAAAAAATTCGGAATAATGATGAGATTACATTGAATATGTCTCTCTAATTTTCAAGTGTTAATGATCAGGATTAGAGGAAACATTGAAGTGAAAATTAATTGATGTATCTCAATAAAGAATATCATCCCAGATTGAAACATAATCGGCTTTTTATGTTTTTCAATTTACGCATTTTGTAAGTCAATTAATGAAAAACAAAAATATAAAATCTTCCCTTCTATGATATAAGTAATCAACATAAAAAAAAGCGCTTAATAGAGGAGAATAGAGCTGATATAATATTATTTCCATTAAATGTATTGAAAATAATGAAATACAACATTTCCTTCGAAGCCTAAGAGAGGAAGTACTAGAAATATTTCTAAAATCGTTGATGCTTATTTGAATTAACTTTTTTTCTATATTTGTTTGATTTTTAGAACTTGATTTGTAACATATTTGAACGAAATAAGGAATTAATAAAGTAAAATTAGTAATAAATTAAAATATTTTTTTTTTATATTGATGATGAAGTGCATATCAGACTATAATATAACTTAATATTTATTAATTAATTGATGCAACCTATCTGAGTGCACATAGTCACTTCTTTAACAATTTGGACTATCATAATTTCATTCATGATCAAAATGCACGTCATATTCGAATCCAGCATGAAAAATTGCATTGAATGATATACGCTATTCTCCAGTGAAATCTCACCCCTAGTAACTCCACACGAAATTAATGAAAAAAAAAGGACTGAGGAGGAGTACAGATGCACATTTGATGAAAAATATTTTTCGTTGAAACGAACGTCATCCAACTCAATTTTTAATGCTGAATTTTAGAAGATTTTGGTTTTCTCCAGAATGAAGCATTATTTTCAAAAAAAATCTCTTCACAATCGTTTTCCCATAAGAATGCTTATAATTCTCTGGAAATAATATTTTTATCTTCCACGAAAAAAAAACCTAAATAGATTTACAAAACGGTTTAATAGTCTTTTTTTTTGAAGATTTCACTTCGGATCAAATTTTATTTGGACGATGACAAGTACATTTTTTCTTAGCTAGTTTTATACAATCAATACGACAAAAAAATCAGTTTGGAGAACTAAAGAATAAAAAAATTTAGCATAGCTATCAAAATTGACCCATTTCATCCAAAAATTGAGTATGTCATTGTTCTGAATGTTTTTTTCTACCAAGACGTTGTTTTTTAGAGTATTTGACATACCTTCTATTCAACCATGTACAAAAAAATCTTACTATGATTTTGAATTTTCGGCATTTTATGTTCTTTGAATCTTTAGTGTATAATCATTGTCAAATGAAAAATGCAACTCGTATTTATTATACCATCGACAGATGTAGAATATATTATAAATAGTTTTTAATGCTTTTGTGGAACTCTTACAGTAGCAAATCGACAGTACTTTGAAAGACTTTCAAAAATGACAGAAAAACAAAATCGACAAAAGTTTAAAATATTTGTGAATATGAGCTGCTGTAGAGTTTTCTGACTGTAACGACAGTTCATTCAATTCTACGAGCAAGAGTACACTGACTATCTTCTAATGAAATGTTTAATTTAACGAACAGTTTTATGAAAAAGATTCACAAAATTGAGTTGAAGCTATATTAGCCTTGATATCAGTGTTAGAAAACATCGATAATCAAGTGAATTTTTTTTTCGAATAAAACCACTTTTCATCTTAATGATTTATCGACATAGGCGATAGAATGTTTTGATTACTTAAATGAGATACAGTTAGTGTCTCTTTGATCGAACTCATATTTTGCAACGTGTAATACTTTTGTAGATCAGAAAAAAAAATTTATAACTTGTGATTTTCGAAAAAAAAAAGATTCCGATCTGCTTTACCAAAGAAAAGTTTAATAATGAAGCAGAAATGTTTCACAGAAAAGATGCTGCATAGTACACATCTTCACTGTTGAAAATGTTTAATAGAGATGTAATCGTATTTGCCGAAGGCAAAGAAAATTTTTTTGTAGATTCTACTTAATCTGACTTAGATTTTTCGATACAACTCTACTTCACTTATAATAAAGGACTCCCACTCCTAGTCGTCGCCGATGTGTATGATTCAATATTTACTTCAATGTGTCCTCAAAAATGTTTTTTAAGTCTTGATTAAGAAAATATAATTATTGGTCGTCAGAGACGATGAAAAATATTGACGTTTGTACAAAAAAAAGTGTAATGCACTGCTTAACTCTATCAATCTAATCTGAGGAGAAAAGTGATTGAGCCTACGAAATGCGAAACTAGATTAAAACTTGACGTATTTAAGCTTTGTGATTCCGCTGCTTATGTTTATCGATAAATATAAAGTAAAAATTAACACATAACGATCTGATTGAACTCAAAATATGAGTCGATAGAAAAAAGAAATACATTATAGTCTATTTCAGAGTTAAATGCTTGTGAGCATTTTTCGATTAGATTTAAAATAAAAAGAGAGAAATATTCTTGAATACGTCATGAATTTTGAAAATGATCTTAAATGTCTTAACTTTTTCTCTATCGATCCACACAAAGTCAAAATCAATAGCAATTTGCGTTTCAAAAATATAAATATTTTACTGAAGGTCATTCATCAATTTTTTTCAAAATCGAAGCAACTAACTAAATATTTCCTTCTGTAAGTTTTAAATTATCTTCGGAGTTTCTTTTTCCTACTAAAAACGTCATCAAAAACCATACACTGAATGTTGATTTTCTCTTCAGCCACATCTTTTTACCAATGAGACACTCTACGTTGGCTCCTATAGAGTTAGTCTGGACAAATATGAAAATATATATGTGATAGACCATGAATTTTACTTTGATTGAAGTAAGCAGATTGACACAAGAATGGATTTATGGTTTATATGTGACGAAAGCATTCAACTACATGAGTAACGTCAAACGATGTGAGAAAACATTCAAATAGGTCAATATTTATGTTGAAGATAGGGATAATGCTGATGATTAATGAGTTTTTATAGTGAATTTACGTCAACATCTTAAAATTCTTTTTGGTTGATCGATTTCGATTCAAAAAATTATTCTCATGAAATCACTAATAAAATAAGAGTTTAAGAGAGCTTTTTGAAAGTATTGATGCATTAAAATCCTAACATAAATTTTATTTATAGTTTTTAATGATGTTTTTAATAGGTAAAAGAAATTCCGAAGATAACTTAAAACTTACAGAGGGAAATATTTAGTTAGCTGCTTCGATTTTGAAAAAATTTGATGAATGATCTACAGTAAAATATTTATATTTTTGAAATACAAATCGTTATCGATCTCGACTTTGTGTGGATCAATAGAGAAGAAGTTAAGACATTTGTTTATTATATTATAGTTAAGAAAACATACTGTTTTCAAAGTAGATTAAGATCATTTTCAAAATTCATGATGTATTCAAAAATATTTCTCTTTTTTTATTTTAAAACTATTCAAAAAATGCTTACAGCCATTTGACAAAACTTTTTGCAATATTATAAATTAAATCACATGAAATCAACCTATAGAAAACATACTATCGAAAAAAACCAATATGCAAATTGCTTGAATGGTTTTAATAAACATCCATGATTGGTTTTTTTTTATTGGCGAACATTTTGAAGCATTTTGTATTTTGCAAATATTACATTACAAATTCACCAATAAATTCATATAGTCTTCCTTAAAACAATTAATACCCTTTTGTTTTATTTGTAATAGAGATCTGTGATGTTTATAGATTAATCTAAATGATAGTTATATGTAAACTTTTATTTATCGGGAATATTAGAGTTGAATTTATTTCGTAAAAATGAATATCGAATAATTTTGTTTATATTAGATTAAAATAGTAAAGTATTTTTTTTTCTAAATAAAAATTCTATGAACTTAATATTTTCAATATACTTCAATATCCTGTTCTTAACTTGATTATGTCAAATAAAATGTTGTAAAACCATAAAGCACCAAAACCTATCTCGATGAATATATGTTTAAAGATAAAAACTAGAAAAAGTTTTTGCATAATGTCAAACGAAAGAACTTAGTGATTAAATTTTCAGTATTATTATTTTAGATTTACTCGTATTATTATATAGTGAAATGAATCTTTGGTCTATTATAAATATTGTTTTAAATTTTATAACATTAATTAATTCAATATCATCAATAATTATTTGTTTAGTTATTTTTTTGCTTGTTATAATTTTTCATCGACAAACATTAACAGTACCATTATTATTAGCTTGTCATACATGTTTCACTTTATTAATATCTTCAATTATGTTAGCTAGTATGGCTACATCTAGTTTATTTGGATTTTTTGGTATTGTTATGCAACAACATGGAAATACGAAATGGTGTCATTGGCGTGGTTTTCTTATTCATGCAGTTCTTTGTGTACTTTATGATTCATATATTTTACAAGCAACATATCGACTTTTTCGAGTTGTTTTCTATCGGCAGAGAATTTTACATAATTTTCTTCTTTACTGTGTTATTATATTTATTGCATCATTATTTGGTCTAATAAGTATATCACCTGTTTTTATCCGTGGTGATATTATTTATCTCTCATCAGAATATTATTGTCAAACACCATTTACAAATATTTCAGCTATAATGTATATAGCTATTCGTCTTTTTCTACTTCCTATATTATTAATTGCAATAATTTATATATTTTTATTAAATCATATTCGTCAAACAAGATTCCTTTGTAATAATTATCATCGTCGATCGAAACATAATAGAAGAAATTTAATTGTAATACGACGACTTCTTTTAATGTTAACTTTTCTTATTTCACTTGGTTTTCCATCAATGATATTTTTAATTATCTTAATATTTACTGGACATCTTGTATTACTAACATATCGAGTTGGTTGGTTATTTGTATCATTTTCACTTATTTTTCTTTCTTATATGCTTATACAACTTACTAGACCATTAAAAAAAACAATGAGAAAATTCTTACGTTGTGAAACATCATAATTCATCAAACAAATAATAATAATAATAATAATGATTGACTAGAACATAAATCAAAAAATTTGTCACTTAATTTATCAAATAAAGCAAAACTATTCGTAATCTCTTATGACTAGATTGTTGATTTAACATAAACGGAAAAAAGAACAATTATGACAATTAATATTTTTCTTAGTCATTGAATTCTTGTGAATCAAGTGACTAGATAAAAAATTATAAAACATACTCATATATTTATTGATGAAGAATTCTTAAATTGAAGTCATAACACATATAAGAATTGTTCTTTTCTTTTTCTTTTTATTTTTTAAATTGAACAAATTTAAAATTAAAATTATGATAAAATCGATTAGACATTTATTTAATAATGTCTTTTTTAAAAAGCATGTTTATTAATGAGGAAAAAAAGTATAGATAAAGTTTTGAAGAAAAAGTCATTGTTGTGTAATTGTTTGACTATTATCTCTATCACTTCCATCACCAATAACAGTCATATGTTTAACAAGTACTTTACGTGTTGTTTGTGATTGTTGTTGTTCTTGTTGTAAATCATTTTGTATAACTTGTGCATGTATATTTTCTAATTCAACTGTACGATGTAAAGGTGCAAAATCAATTTTTTGTGATAACGGCGGTGGTGGTGGTTCTGTTGACATCGAGCTTTTTTCCTTCTTTTTCTTCTATTGCGCTCTTGTGTATAGTGAATAAGTGCGTATGTGTATGTGTGTATATTTACTCTTAATACTATGCGAAGTAATTCCTTATGAACGGAAAACAAGAACGACAGAACAAGATCAAACCACTTTTTTTTCCCTTCTATTTCTTCGGCTTTTTCTATTGATAGGTCCGTTCTGTTCGGGATACTCAGTCGAGATTGACGCAGTGTCATTCTTATTATCGTTAATTTAATAAAGTTAACGAGTATCCTTTATGAATGCGTGCATATATCTAAATTATAAAAGTGCAAAAAAAAATTACATATATTACTTTTTAGAAATCTGAAAAAATGAATGATAATCGGTTCAAATTATCAAAATGGGTTTTGCATCTATTTATAAATAAATGAATAATTAATGCTTATTTTTGATTTGTATTTGCTAATAAATTATTGACTAAGGTAAAAAGCAACAATGAAAATAAACGATGAGTAGATTTATTAATGTTTTTATAGCTGAAATAATGTCGTGTTGTTTTGAATAATTTGTCTCAAAGATACTTCTCATAAAAATTGTTCTGATACTTTCTTAATATGTCTACGAAAGATAGTCAAAAAATTTCTAATGAAAGAACAGAAATATTTTTTAAACAAAAGTTTTCAACTCAGACGAATAAACTAAATTCATACCGACAAAAAAACGCACGATGCTCTGACCAAACTATATATCATTACAAAGAGAACGCTTTATGCTTTTCTAACATACTCAACATATGAACTAGAATTTCTTTTGTAAAAATAAAATTTTTTGATTAATAGTTTTTCTTATAAACTTATTTCAAGAAGAAATTTCAATAGAAATGTCGAACCAATTCAAAAAAGAAAATCATATTGATTATAATGTTGATCTGCGCTATTTGATTATGCATTCAAAGGTCTCATGACGAGTAAAAAAAAACACTTTTTAATTGACTTTTTTTTTTATATCAAGTGTTACTTTTTCATTATCAAAAAGAAAATGTAAACTGGAATTATTTATAGCAAGATATTCACCAGTGCTACAAACTCAAATCCATTTTTCCAAAAAAAAAAACGAAAATAATATTTAATTTGACTTTTTCTACTACTTAGAAGAAGTCGTAATGTTCTAGAAAATAGTAGATTTCCACGTTTGTTTTGGATGGTATTACGGCAAAAATTAGCAGAATTATTCATCATTTCTAAATTGATGTTCTTTTATTTAGTGTTTAGTTGAAGCTTTTTTTTTTTAATAATATAGTGACTATTTTTCGCTTGTGCATCAGTGAAATTAAGTCTTGTTATTTTGATTGATTTATCTAATAGATACTTGTCATAAAGATTCTTCAAATGATTGTATTAACACAAAAAGAAATAATTTATTCAATATTATGAATGAGCTTTTCATAATATTAATTCATCGAACTTTGAAAAATATTTTTTTAATATATTTTATATTGATAATTTAGATTAGAATATTCCAAAAAAATTTTTTTTTATTACAGATAAAATTCATTTTGTAGAATTTTTCATAGATATGAATTTATTTGAAAACAAAAATAGTTTAAAAAATACATCAAATTTCATTACATTTTCAATTATATAATTTCAATCATAATCATATGTTAAGACGATCTAAAATCATACGAATGATTAAGATAATATTATCATTACGTAATAAAACAGCTAATAAATAATTTCATAAATAGAATGCTATTTTTCTGAAAACATTTCGACGTAAACAATAGTTTTAAAAAAAAAACTTTAGACAAATCTTATATTGTTTGTAAACAATATGAATTACTTAGAAACTTTTGCTCATATAAAATATGTTTAATTTCGTTGCAAAGATGAGATTTATAGTATTAATGAAGGAATCAATGTTTGTGCGGTAAATTACATATAAGATTATTTTAAAGAATTTTTTTTATCAATAATAAAAAATAAATAATGATTATAATTAAAGAGATTTCAATGAAAATTATAAAAATATATGCGAATTGATTTTATAATTAGACGAAAAATAAAATCAATTAAATAAAAAGAAAAATATTGAATAGTTAAATAGTACTTGTAAGAATCGACAGTATACCAGTAATAATTGACGATCAGTCAGAGAACAATTATCAGGTGTAGGACGGTAGAATGACGATTAGAGGATAGCCAATCATTTTAAATATCAAACTACCACCGGTATAGTGCACATTATTCCGAACGATTTCCTGGCTGTTTGAATCACATGGGTACTTTTAACAATACTATTAACTTTTGTTTTCTAGCATTGTGTAATTTTCCTCTATTAGTTGTCATCCAAATGTTTTCTCTAACTTCCCATGTGATTAGAGCCGGACATAAACGACCAATAAATCATTTAGTATGCTATGCGCTGTTCCGACAGTACTTCGAACAAATATGTAACATGGGTTCAATTGTCAAAGTCAGCATGACAAGTACTTAGTTTTATACTACATTTTTTGAGTTTTAGATTATTTATTAAAATAACATTCTCAAGTAAACTTCAACATATATTTATTTTTATAGTTTATCAATGTTACTGTTTATTAAATATAAAAATTATGAACTTTAAGTAAGATAAAAGAATATAGAAAAATTAAAGAATAACATAGTTGTATGATACAATTATTTGTATTTGAATATTTCAATTGATTTTTTTTTATTGAATAACTTATTTTAACGTAGTTCATTAATAAACAACATTTTCATTTTATTTCAAATATTGATTCTATCACAACATAAAGATATTTTTTATTATATGTACTATTCAACAACAACAACTAAAACGATAAATTTCATGTATTTATTATTTATAAATACTACTGTCGTTTTTCTGCAAGTGATTGATTTAACACATTGATAATCGAAAGACTCTATTATCTAACGAGAGAACGTTTCGAAATGTCAAATCACTTTTGAATCGAGCCTTTGTGTATCATATCGGTTCTAATGAGCTATGAATTATCCTGAAAAGAATTCAGATTAATAGCTTATTGTTACCGAGATAATGTATTTTTTAGCAGAATATCGTGATCTTCTTTAAGATCACGAGAAAAACTGATTTTCAAATTTTGATTTAAAACTTTTCATCGAGATAAGTCTTAATGAGAATAGTTTATTGTAAAAGTTTTAGATTATTTGATTGCTTCTATCCTAGGACATGCCTATGGCAAGAACATGTTTTTTATGTCACTCATATGCAACGACAAATTTCGATGTTCTTATTTTAGAATAGACGCAATCGAAAAGACTGAAATTTGCACAATAAACTATTCTCATTAAGGTCTCTCTCAGTACAAAAAAGTGTAGTATCTCCGTCGTAAAAAGCTAAGGAGACGAACTTTTTTTAGGTTATTCATAACTCATTAGAACCTAGATGATACACATAGGATCGATTCAAAAACGGTTTGATACATAGAAACGCTCTCTCGTTAGATAAGAGAACGTTCGAAAGATAAAAGCTAAATTCTATATAACATATCATCATGAATCGTCAGTATAAAGAGAAAGAGTTATCTTCATAATAACAAATATAATATCATTGATTTCTCAAAGGAGCAGCTGAGATAATTAAGAGAGGATTGTCTAAGGAACATTGCAGTTGTTATCTATTCACAGCCATTCATAATATAAGAATGAATAATCTCTGAATTTTTACGTCGTAAAAAAAGTTACAAAAAAGAAATCGTTTACTGCAAAAATTTCATTAAATAAAAAATACATTTTCTCAACACATGTGTTTATAATCGAAAGGAATGTGAAATTTTCTTGTAAAGAAAAACATCATAGATGATAAGATCATGTTTTCTTTATACAATAATAATTACAAATAAATCGCGAATTTCTTATCATTAAAATTGTTTCTTTACTAATTTTAATTATTATAAGAAAATATAATATCTCTTTATTTTAAATACTTTCGTAACCTTAAATATCGTTTTTTTTTCTTGCATGATTACAAATCTAGCTCAATTTTATCGTCATACGAACCAATAAAAATATAATGAATACGGATCTTCACTCTGAAAATATGTTCATTTCGGTTTAGTTTTAAAAAGACTGACGTGCTTATCATCACTTCTTTCGGTGTTCAAAAGAAGGATATCAAATCGCTACAAGTTAAGCGAAATATATAATGTTCATTTAGCTTGTTCTTGTTTATAAAATCGACATTGATTATAAAAAGATTACTCGATAAAAATAGCTCCAAGAATTAATATTCAGTAAACATAATGTAAATTAGCATCATAAGTAGGCTGTGAGTTCATAAAAAAATACTTACACATGTTGATTAACAATAGAGCAATAGGTGCAATTGTCATGAGATTGTTTTTATCTTGTAGTTCACACGGTAGCAATATAAAATGTCCTTGATGATAAGGTCCTCCAAAAAAAACGTCCTTTAACTCTTTGACAGTGAAGCACGTCAATTTATGTCTTCAAAATTTGAATAAGGGATGAAAACCGAAAATATGATAAAATAGATCTTTTCAATATTTGTTGTGTTCTGACACAGGTGCCACTGGTAACAGTATAGCATCTTTAAATTAAGTCTGAGTGCGAGAATTATGATACTTCAATAATTTTCAAAGTATATCGCGTTAATAACAATAGCAATTTTTATGCTTTTATTTGTTCTAAAAATAAGTTTGTCGTCAAAGGATGAGGTATATTCAAATTTTTAAAAAAGTAAATATCCAACACGGCGAAAGAATCTATCAAAGAAAGCAATACAAAAATTGATTGGTAACTTCCAAAATTTTACAATATTTACCGAAACTTAACATAAAATCAAAGTAAATTCAACAAGAAATTACGAAACTTCCTCAAATACGAATAAGAAATTTCCGTGTGATTTATGAAATTACTCATCCACTACGAAGGTATTTCCAAAATGATTTTGACGATTACTACTCTTCAACTAGGAAATCTCTCGCTTTTTTTTTCAAAAACTAGCAAACAAACTAT